TGGGGATAGCGGCTGGAAGCGGCGCCGCGCGTGCAGAGGTCTGGAGCTCACCCCCCAACAATAAACTACTTCGAGAACTCCTACTATGTGCAGAGCGATTGAGCGCGCGGATTCTGGAGCCAGGTTCGAATCCCAGCTCCTCCGCTTTCTATCCCTGTGACTTTGGAGAAGTTACTTAACCTCTCTGGGCCTCAACAGTTTCCCCAACAGTCAAATGGTTGATGACAGGAGTCTCCCCTCACAGGGTTGTGTATGGGTTCTGGTCTGAATTAGTGTTTGTAATTTCAGCGCGCCTGACCCTAAAGTGGGCTCAATCCCTTGGCCAAATACTCTTGAGGGCCCTTAAAATTAATTTCCACTTTATGGATAAGGAAACTGAGTCTCAGAAAGGATCAGCTCCTTGGCCGAGGCCACACAGTATGGAAATTTGGCACACCCAGCCCTAACTGAGGTCCTAGAGTTTTCTTTATCCCAGCAGGAGAGGATCTGCAGTTATAATAGTTTAGGCTTTACTGGTGTTCAACTTCCAACAACTCCACCTGAAGCCACTTGTTGAACATCTCTGAGTACCACTGCTTCATGAGAACAGCAGCTGCCTCTAAGGACTGCCATGAGAATGAACGAAAATGACATGCATCAGTCAGGAAGGAGTGGCATGTGCTCAGTAACAAGCAGCCCCAAAACTTCAATGGCACCCAACATTTAAGGTTTGCTTCTCACACTGGTCATTGTGGAGAAGGGAAAATGTGGCAAACCATGCATTGGCTCGTATAGTAGTCCTCCCTTACCCAGAGCTTCCTTTCTGTGGGTTCAGTTACCCACAGTCAACCACTGTTTGAAAATATCAAATGGAAAATTATGGGCTAAACAATTTCTCAGTTTAAAATTGTGTGCCATTCTGAATAGCATGATAAAATCTTGCACTATCTTGTTCCATCCAACCTGGACGTGAATCACCCGTGTCCACCATGTCCACGCTGTGGACACTCCCCACCCATTAGTCACCTAGTAGCCATCTCAGGTATTAGATCAAATGTCATGGTATCACAGTGCTTGTGTTCAAGTACCCCTTATTTTACTTAATAGTGCCCCAGCCCGCCACTGTTGTCCAGTGGTTGAGTGTCAACCCATGCACCAAGAGGTTGCCAGTTCAATTCCCGGTCAGGGCACATGCCCAGGTTGCAGGCTTGATCCCGTGGATGGCGTGCAGGAGGCAGCCAGTCCATGTTGATGTTTCTCTCTCATGAATGTTTCTATCTCCCCCTCCCTTCCTCTCTCTCTAAAAAAAAAAAAGAAATTAAAAAAAAATTTAGCCCTAACTGGTTTGGCTCAGTGGATAGAGCATCAGCCTGCAGACTGAAGGGTCCCAGGTTTGATTCCAGTCAAGGACATGTACCTTGGTTGCGGCCACATCCCCAGCGGGAGGTGTGCAGGAGGCAGCTGATCGACGTTTCTCTCTCATCGATGTTTCTAACTCTCTATCCCTCTCCCTTCCTCTCTGTAAAAAATCAATAAAATATATTTTTTAAAAAATTTAAAAACAATAATGACCCGAAAGCACAAGAGTAGAGAAGCCATAAAATGCTTTAATTGAAAGTATATGTGTATAGGAAAAAAAACATTATATATATAGATTTGGTACTATTGATAGTTTCAGGCAATCATGGGGTCTTGGAATGTATCCCCCATGGATAAGGAGGGGACCATTGTACCCTTCTCCCTCTTTTTTTTTTTTTTTTAATCCTCATCCGGGAATATTTTTCCATTGATGTTAAAAGAGAGTGGAAGGAAAGGAGGAGGGGAGAGAGAGAAACATCGACACATTAATTGGTTGCCTCCTGCACGCGTGCCCTGACCAGGGCTGGGGATCGAACCTGTAACCGAGGTACATGCCATTGACCAGGAATCGAACCCAAGATCCTTTGGTCCAAGGGCTGACGCTCTCACCACTGAGAAAAACGGGCTAGGGTGTACCCTTCTCTTTGGAAATGACTATTGGGGTCTGTTTACATTTCATTGGCCAAAGCAAGACACATGGCCACCCCCAATTCAATGGGGTTGGAAATATGCTTGTCCCCTAGGGATCAGAACCAGCTATTGTTACAATAATATATGGTACCAGTATGTGCAATGATTAGCTCCATGCTTGGCACACAGTGGGTGCTCAACAAATGGGTACTGTTACAGGAAGAGCTTAGGGGCTGCAGTAGCTAACACTCCAAATCATCATGGGGAGTATGAACGGAGAAATAGAGGCCCTCGCTTCCATTCTTGTCCACCTTTCCCCCCGCTTCCCAGTTGGAGAAAAAAGCACAGCAGCCATTTCCAAAGACGGGTTTATTGAGATTTGGGGCGCCAGCAGAGACAAAGAAGCAGTGGGTGCTACAGGCTCCTGAGATTCAGGGCAAGGCCAGCAAGACAGAGCCCATTGCTCAGGAGGCAGCCCAGGTTGCAAATGGAGGACAGGCCATGGTAGCGGAAGAAGATCTGGCGGAGGGCACTGTACTTGGGATCCTGCTCCCGCAGCTGGCGGTAGAGGTCAGGGCCCTGGTGGCGGCCTGGTACCTCCCCACCCAGGCCCTGCTTCTTCTCCACGGTCTGCAGGGCCCACATGGCAGCCGTGGTGCGAGGCTCCAGCCAGCGGGCATTGATGGTGGCAAGTGTGAGACTCAGGAACAACAGGCAGAGCTGGTGGAAGTAGTGGGAGGTGAGCCGTGCCGGGAAGGCAGGAGGGGCCCTGCAGAGGGTCCTTCTGCACCCTCAAAGTCCCGAGGGGCTGGGGGACAGCAGAGGGTCAAAGCCAGGCCTCCCCCTCCTCCCACAACCCAGATTAGGGCCCCCAACCAGAGCTCCAGCTCTAATAACCTGAAGCTGGCAGGAAAAGCTTCAGCAGCTCCTTTATGCCCCCCAGAACCTTCTGAGTCTCCTCTTCTCTGATATTCAGACTGGAAGTTTCCAGAACACAGCCTTTTCCCACAAACTGACGGTATCTCAGAGCAGAACCTCTCTTCCCCAAATTGGAACAGCACAATAACTGTCCCCTCGTTCCCCCAAAAGAGAGAGAGAGCCTAAGACAGGGTCCGCCTCCTCTGTTGGCCCCAGCCCAGATCCCAGAAGCTGACATTGGGCCCACAGGGAGTGAATAAAAAGCCCTTAAAGTTCTAGTTACCCATAATACTCTCTGGTCTCTATGGGATTATTCTTGAAACCCCTGTCAGGCTTTACCTGCCCACATATGAGGAACACAATGAGGGCAGTGGGAGGGCGGGATAGAGAAATATGAGATGCAGAGATGGTCGCTTGCCTGGTAGTTGGGAAAATGTGTGGATGGGGGTGGGGGACTTTAAATTCCCAGTCTGGCTCGTTTTTAAACAATGAGCTGGGGTCAGTGCCCCAGCCCAGCTGAGTCACCACAGCTTGGCAGCAGGCCCAACCAGAGGGAGGAGAGGGAGCAGCAGCCAGCAGACAGACAGGGGGAATAGGGTAGACAGGGCTGCTGGGGATAGCTGTGCAGGCTGGGTACTGCTCAAGGGTATCCAGAGCCCAGCTTTGTATCCACCAGGAAGAAGGCACAGTTTTGTTGTTGTTTAATTCTCACAACGG